GGACAAGGGCAGAGCCATGAGGTTGGGGGTGGGCAGAGAACTGGCTGGACAGACAGACAGGGGGTCAGGCTGTGGGACAGGGGCACAGGGACAGGTCTGGGGGCAGGCAGTGGCAGGGGGACAGACAGATGCACAAGAGGGCTGCACATCGGGGGCAGGGACAGAGGGACAGTGGGGCAGCAGGATGGACAGATGGACAGGGGTTCAGAGTGCAGGCAGAAAACAGGGGGACAGACGGACAGAGGGGCTGTGCCGTGACACACCGGGGTGCAGGAATGGGGGAATGAGACACAGACCGAGGGGACAGATGGACAAGAGAGGAGCCTGCACTGTGTCACACTGGGGTGCAGGAGCAGGGCAAGGGGGACAGACGGACTGACAGACGGCAGGGCTGCACGGTGTCACACTGGGGTGTCAGTGGGACAGACGGACAGACAGACAGGAGGGCCGTGTGGTGTCACACTGAGGGGGAGCAGTGGCAAGGGGTGGCAGCCGGCCAGACAAATGGACAAACGGACAGGATGGACACAGGGCAGGGGTGCCAGCACCCTCGGGGGGAATGGACAGATGGACAGGAAGTGGATGGGGAGACTGAGGCAGGGCCAGGGGGGCTCTGGGGGCACAGAGAGAGGGGGTTGTCAGCACCAAGACCCCCCCACTGCGGGGACCCCAGCCACAGCCCTCCATATACCCCACACTTGGGGGGCTCAGGGGCTGGGCACAGCAGTGGGGTCCCAGCCCCGCCATGGGCCATGGAGTGCAGGGGGGTCTCAGCCCCCACCCCTGAGGGCACAGGGGGGCTCAGCCCCATGTCTCACTGGGGGGGCAGGGGGCCCACGGAGCCCTAGCTCTTCCACAGGTGGGGGGTGCTGGGGGGGTGTCACACTGCAGGTTTGGGGGGTGCAAGGGGGGACACTGGGGGTGCAACTGTCGGGGGGGGCAGTGAGGGGAGCCAAGCTGGGGGACACAGGGCGGGTGCAGCAAGGCAGAAGAGGGCTGGGGGCACTGGGGGGGCAGGGGGGATTGGATGCTGGGGGGTCAGGGGGCTGCAGCAAGAATGCAGCACAACCAGGGGGATGAGGGGCTGCAAGGGGGTGCAGTCAGGACATTGGGGGTGCATTGGGGGGTGCAGTCAGGACACAGTGGGCATGTGGTAGAGGTGGATGCTGGGGAGGTGCAACAGGGCAGAGGGTGTGCATGGGGGATACAGGGGGCTCGGAGACATGGTGGGGATGGAGGGGGGGTGCTGGGGCACAGGGGGGATATCGGGAGCAGTGAGGGGCTGCAGTGAGGGGTCCCACCTCTCGCAGAAGGTGTGCAGGCAGGGATAGGGCTCAGGGGGTTGAGGGGGGCTCAGGGGGTCCCACCTCTCGCAGAAGGTGTGCAGGCAGGGATAGGGCTCAGGGGGTTGAGGGGGGCTCAGGGGGTCCCACCTCTCGCAGAAGGTGTGCAGGCAGGGCAGCACCTTGGGGTTGCGGTAGCGGTCGAGGCAGATGCTGCAGACCAGGAACTGCTGGTCGATCTGCCGCACCACCGGGCTGGCGGGCTCGCGGCGGGCCATGGCGGCTCCTCAGCCTGGGGGGCACGGCACAGTGAGGGGGGTGCCCCACAGCACGCCATGGAGCTCCGCGGCACCCCACAGCCACGACCCATAGCCCCCACCCATCCCACAGGCTCATGGTGGGCCACGGCAGACCCTCAGGCTAGGGAGGGGAAGATGTAAACGGGTGAGGGGCATCCCGTGGCACCCCACAACCCCCCACTCAACCCACAGTGCCCCATAGCCCCTTGCCCACCCCACGCCCTCACAGAGAGCCACGGTGGACCCTCACTCTGCGGCAGCAGGGTCACTGGGGTGTGGGCACCCTAGGGTATGCACAGCCCTGACCCATAGCACCCACAGTTCCCGATCCCACAGACACATCGAGGGGCACACGGGGGGGCTCCCCCTGCCCACCAATGTACCCACGACCCCCAGGTGCCCAGAGCCAGCCCCACACCTGCCCCCCAGCCCCACACGCCCCCGTGCCCCACAGCACTCACCTCCCACAGACCCACCGACCCCACTGTGCCCTATGGCACCCACCCCGTGCCCCGTGGGGCACCCACCCCACAGCACCCACAACCCCCACCCCCGACCCCACTGCCCTCCCTCCTGTGCCCCGCAGCTCCCACCCTACCCCCTGCTCCAAGGAGCGCCCATCGCCCCCGCTGCCCCCCATCGCCCCCCACCCCATCGCCCCCCTCCTCTCGCCCCGGCCCCGCTCACGGCGCTGCGGCGGCTCCGCGCTCCAGGCCCCGGCCCCGCCCCGGCCGCCATTGTGCGGCACCGCCCCCCCGCCACACCGGGACCCCGAGGGGGGTTTGGGGGGGTCCCACACCCCGCATTTCCCCATGGGGGTCTGCCCCCTTCATCCCCGCTCACCCACCCCTAAACCCCCCTTACCCACCCCACGATTGCCCCCCTCGCCCCCCGATCTCCCACCGCTCACCCCGTGCCCACCGCCCCCCACCCGGGCCCCCCGACCCCACTCACCCCCCCCGTAGCCCCCTCCTCGCTCCAGCCCACGCCGCGGGACCCCACGGCGCATCCTCGGCCCCGGCCCGGGATGCGACAGGGAGGCGGCCGGGCCGGGCGGCACCAAGGGCGCCGGGAGGGGGGGATTAGACTTGTCACCCCTTCCCCCTTCAACGAGACGCCCCCCGCCCGCGGACTGCCGACTCAGGGGCAGAAACGAGTAGCTCCGCGACGCGTTGCCGCCCCCGAGTGGGGGATCCGCGGGGGGGTCCCGTGAGAAAATCCGTAAAGCGACCCCTCAACCCCCCCCGACGCGAGTGGTCTCGCCCGGGCTGTGGCTCTGCAGTGGGGGGGACTTCGCGCATCCCGGGGTACCCGGCTGTTGCCACGGCAACAGCATCCCGCCCCCGAATTTGGGGCTCAACCCCCCAAATTGCGGGGGGATAGGATGGAGGAGGGAGGGGTGCGGGTACACACTGGGGGGTGGAGGTTTGGGGGGGGCTCACCAAGTGCGGAGAGATGGGTGGTATAAATAGGGGGGAATAAAGGGAGGGAAAAGGGGGCCTAAAGGGAGGGCCGGGGGGGACACAGGGGGGTAAAAAGAGGGGTAAAGAAAGAGTTGTGAAAGGGAGAGGGTATAAACAGGGTACTGGGGGCATGGGGCGTATGATCGAGGCACAAGGAAGGCACAAAGGGCAGGGGTTAGGAGTAAGACCAGAACCTAGTAGCCGTCCAAACAGCCCCTCAGTCTGGGGGGATCCCACACCTGCCTGCTGCCACAGGTCCCCCTCCACCTCCTCCACGTGGGACTCCCCACTCATCACTCCCCCCCATCTCAGGTGGGCCCCCTCTGCCCTGCAGGGCAGGGTCCCCCCCTCAGCTCAGGACACGGGGAGCCCCTCACCGTGGCATCAGACCCGCATGCTGCAGCCTCCAAGGGAATTCCAGCAGGTTCCTGGATGGCTTCTTTTGGAGGGAGGGGGGAGGAGCAGCTGGCAGCTCACCATAGCTGGGGGGTCCTGGCAGAGCTGGAGTTCAGGGGATGCAGAGGGGGTGACCCCATCCCTGGCCAGCTGACCACCAGAGTGAAGCGTGGGGGGGACGGTAGACACGGGGACAGGAGGGTCCTGACCCAGCCCAGGGGGGTACAGGGACCCCCAACCCTGTGGGGTCTCAATGGGGAGAAGTGGCTCCAGGACAGACCCAGAGCTCTGTCATGAACTATCCCCCCAGTAAATCTGTCCCCATCCACGTGTGGCCCCCGTGTGGCCCCCAACCCCACACCTCATCCTCAGTGTCTGGAAGGTTCCTCAGCCAGGTCAGACCTGGTTGTGCAGCCATTACAGTCCCCCAGGAGCAAGGAGGGTCACGGGGGTGCACAGAACATGGGATCCCTCCGGGCCCCCAGCTGGGCACCTCCGGCAGCAGCAGAAAGCGCTGGGGATCAGGGGTCCCAGGGGCTGCAGCCGGGGCACCTGTGGCACAGGGCAGGGTTCAAGGGAGCCCCCCTCCACCAAGGACCTCCCCCAGCCCACCACCCTCACCTCCAGCAGCTCCTTGCCCCCACAGGGACCCCGACCCTTCCCCAGTGTCCCACATGGTCTGGCAGATGGGCCTGGGGGGACACAGCAGGTGCTGGGGACTCCCCACCCAGGTACAGGGTGACACTGAGCCCCCGGGGGTGACACCCCTGTCCCTGCAGGGGGCACACACCCACCCAACCCTTGCAGCTCAATGAGATCAGGGACCCCCCACATCCATGTCTAGGGAGCAGTGGGTACCCCCATTCACCCCACCCCCACCAGGACCCCAAAGAGGTGAGGAGCAGAGACCCTCAACACTCCCCCTGCCGGGACCTCCGGGGGTGGGTTCCACACCCACCCCTTCCCCCACGGAGAGGGTTTCAGTGTCCGGGGCAGTGCCCTGGAGGGACACTGGGGAGCGGGAATCTCCTGGGGGGCAGAATTTTCCACAGGGAGTGTCCCAGGGGTAGGTCAGTGACCCGGAGGTTGTCTGGAGGTCCCAGGGGAACAGCAGCCGGAGGCGTGGCAGGTTGAGGGGTGATGGAGGGGGGCACTGTTTGGCACCGAACCCAGTGCCCAGCCTGGGGAAGGGGAACTGGCCCCACGGGACCTCTCAGCTCCCAGTGTGACCAGTAGGATGGTAATGACAGCACTGGGACCCCTGTGTTGAGTGCCCCCAGCCCCCACTCCCGAGGCACCCCCAGCCCATCCCTGTTCAGCCCTGCCCTGTCCCGGCTCCTGCTGCAGGGTCGGGGTGAGGGGCAGCCCCTCAGTCACCCCCCAGAACCACCTCTTCCATGCACCAGCTCCCCACCCCAGGCCCTGGCCCTGTCACAGGGGTCCTGGCCCTTCTGGGGCTCATGCCCTTGTCTCCCACCGGCCCCAGCAGCCCCAGCCCATGGGGTGCAGTCCCCTAACACCCCCCAGCTCCCCAGCAGAGGGGTCTCAGCTGCAGCCCAGCACACACTGATCCGTACCATTTATTGGGGTCTTACAGAAGTGTGGGGGGGTCAGATCGCCACCGGGAGGGGGGTTGGGGTCAGATCCCAACATTAAATTACGGGTTAAATTAATGAGCAAGAAAAACCAACAGTTTTGTCTCAGGAGAAAGTGCCCAAGTGCAGGGGCGGGCTGGGGGCCCCTCGTGGGGTGGGGGGGACACTGGCCAGGACCCCGGCCCTCCGTGTGCAGCACACGTGCCCTGGGACACACGTGTCCCCACACGCAGATACGCACTGACACACGTGTGCACCTCCAGTGCCTCTGCTGGCGTTTGGTCCCTGCTTGGAGCTCCCCTGGCCCCCCCAGGGTCCCAGTGCTTGGCCAGCACCCTCCCCCCGCTCCACTAGCAGCAGCGTGCAGGGACCCCCCCCCAGCTCAGGATGCCACAGCCCCAGGGGAGCAGAGGGGGCTTTGAGGAGCGCAGCCCCCCCGGGTCAGGAGTGCAAGAGCAGCCACCCCAGAAACACTTGGGATTGGCCTGGAGGGAGCCGGGGTGACCCAGGTGTTGGGGGGACAGCAGGAGCCCCCCCAGGGGGAAACCCAGCAGGGGACCCTCACAGCCCCCTGGCACAGGAGGGACCCGGCTGTTCTGGGGCTGGCCCCCCCCAGCTCCACTGTGCCACAGGCAGGGGTCTCCCCGGGGGAGCAGGGAAAGGACCTGGGGGGGGACACCCCCATCCTGCCTGGGGGAGGCAGAGGCAGGCAGTAGAGGGTCCTGGCCCACCCCGAGGTGAGCAGGGGGACCAGGGTGGGGGTGCAGCCCAGCAAGGGGGGCGTCCCCAGCCCCTCAGTGGTGCTGGGGGGCAGGGGTTCTCGGGCTGTCTGCTATGTGGGGGTCTGTGCTGAGGAGCTGCTGGACTCTACCCTGAGGGGGGCTGTGGGACAGTTGGGCCCCACCCCCACCCCTCTGGCAGCCCCCACACCCAGCAGGCCCAGGCTGTGCCTCCAGCAAGCCCCCGGCCACAACTCAGGTCCATGTGTACCCCACAGGGGGGCTCCCCCGTCCGGGGGGGTGCGGGGGGCTCACTGCTCCTCCAGCCAGGAGGGCTTCTCAGCGCCAGGGGTCTTGAGCTTGATGTTGAACTGCTTGAGGGTCTGCTCGAGCTGCTGCTGGTTCCCGGCAAAGTATGCGGAGATGGCGTTGTGGAACAGCAGCAGCTGCTTGTGCATCACCTTGATCTGGAACAGGGGGGGTTATGGTCCGGGGGGCCCGACTCCAGCCCAGCAGCACAGAAAAGGACTGGGAAAGCCCTTGGAGGCCCCCCCAAGTTCCACTGCTCCCCCAGCGCTGCCCACCCCACCGCTGAACCATGTCATCGAGTACCACATCCAACACAGCTGTTAAATCCTTGCGGGGACACCCCGCCCCTGCACCCCCCATCTGTGTCTCCCATCCCTGTCCCATACCCCTCACCCCCGTGCCCCCCACCCTGCATGCCCCACCACGCACCCCATCCCTATTCCACCCATGATCCCCCTGCCACCTTGTTCTCCTCCAGGAACTTGAGCTTTATGGCCACGTCTGCCCGCAACTTCTCGTACTTGTCCTTGTGGCTCTGGAATTGGCTCTGGGCCGCGTCCAGGCGGCTCACGGCGCCAGCATCACGCGGGCCCATGCTCAGCTCCTCCAGGTCCGTGCGGTACGCGTCATACTCCAGCCTGCCGGGGACCCCTGGCATCAGCGACCTGCCCCCGGAGCCCCCCAGGACCCCTGAGCACCCATATCAGTTCCCCTGTCCCACCTGGCTGTCTCATACTGCTTGACCGTCATGAGCGTGTCTTCCATGGTCTTGTTGACCAGTGTGTTGATGCTGGACACAAAGAAGTTGACGGCGCCCAGCAGCGTCTCCCCGTTCTTGCACAGCAGCTTTTGCGTCTCGGCGTTGTACCCAAACTCCTCCTGGCACCGGACAGGGCCCACAGTCACAGCCCCGCTCCCCTCCATTGAGGGCCTTGGGTTGGAAAACTCTCTCCCCTGAGACCACCGAGCCCAACCACAACCCAGCGCCACCAAGCCCAGCTCCAGCTCACATCCCTACCTGCACAGGCTGTCACCCCTAGTCCCAGCAGTCCCCATCTCCCCCGGCCCTGCTGCCCAGGTGTCCCTGCTCTGCCCTGGCGCCCAGGTGTCCCCCAGCCCTGGCCCTGCCGCCCAAGTGTCCCCCCCCAGTCCCGGTGTCCAGGTGTCCCTGCTCTGCCCCGGTGCCCAGGAGTCCCCCAGTGCTGGTGGTTCCCATGTGCCCCCTGGCATACCTGGAGCTCAGGGGATTTCTGGCTGAGATCGGCGAAGGCGTCGCCCAGGGCGTGCTGTGTCTGCACGAGGCTGTACAGGTGGGCCGTGAGCGCCCGTGCCAGCTGCAGGACGCTCTCGTACTTGCGCTTGGTCTCGCGCAGCAGCTCGATCTGTGTCTCCAGCTCCAGGTCCACCGTGCGGGACCCCCGCCCGAACCGCTCTGACAGCAGCTGCTTGGTGCACTGCGGGATGGGGGGTCAGGGGGCCCGGGGTGTGTGTGGACCCCCCAACTGCTCCAAGAGCAGCTGCTCAGGGCACTGCAGGACAGGGGGTTGGGAGGCCCGCTGGGGTGCCCTCAGTCCTCACCTTGTAGGTGTTGATCCCCCATTTCTTGACGATGTCAAACTTCTCGACAGCGATGCCACGCACGACCTCCTCCCCGCTGGGTGGGGGGCCGGGGGGGGGTGTGTGCAGCCCGGGGCCTGGCACGGGGACAGCACCTGGCACCAGCTCTGGGGGGGGCAGCGCCCATGGTGGGCCAGGCAGCCCCTCCCCTCCAGAGCCACTGTCCCCACAGCAGGGTCCCCATCTCTGGCCACGCGTGTGCCCAGTACCAGCTCATGGGCATCGCGGTGGGAACCCTGCTCCTGCCAGCCCCCCAGGGGGTCCCACACAGGGGAAGAGACCCCAGCCCAGCCACATCTGGCAGCACAGCCGAGCCCAGGCCCTGCCTTGTTCTGCTGTCCCCCATCGCCAGGGGGGAGCAGGACCTGGTAGCACCAGGGGACCCCCGGGTGGGCTGCAGGGGTAGGGAGGACCCCCTGACTGGGACCCACCTCTGAGACCCCCGGGCCCATCAGCACTGTCCTTTGTCCCAGTAGCAGGACGGGTCGGGGTGGGGAGAAGGGCAGTACCTGCGGGGGAGGCGGCCGGGTGGGCCATCCTGCGGGCAGCGGGCGCGCTGGGGGGCACCGACGGTCCTCGGGGGGAGTGAGGGTGGACAAGAGAGCCTGGAAACGGGGGGGCTGCGGGTGCCGAGCGGGAGGCGGGGCAGGATGGCAGGGCACAAGGCACAGGACGGGGATGACCAGGGCAGACGGGACAGGGGGCAGGGGGCAGGGAGTGGGGACGAGTGCGCGGGCATGCGGCAGCGGACAGCGACGGCAGCAGGTGAGTGTTGGAACACAGAGACGTGGCTGCGGCCACGCAGATGGACCCCTCTGCCCCAGGGAACCCCCCCAACCCCCTCTGGTTCCTCTGTAGGGATCCCTGTGCTCCGAGATCCGGGCAGGCCTGGTGTGCCGGGGACACAGGGCTGCCAGCCCCGGGAGAGCACGCACACACTCCCTCTGCCCGCACAGACCCCTCCAGGCCCCGTGGGGGCTGGGGTCTGCCATGGAGGAAGATCCATGTGGAACAAGGGTCAGATCCATGTGGAACAAGGACAGAGGAACAGCGGTGCCAGGGCTCCTGCAGCACAGGGCCGCCCTGGCCCCACCAGAGCCTGACCCAGCTGGGGCAGTGAGGAGAGTGCAGTGGAGAGCAGGGCTGGGCTCTCCAGTGAGAGCACTGCCTCAGTGCCCCCTGCCTGCCCCCGCCATCCCAGCCCAGAGCTCTCACTGCCCCCAGCCTGCGGCAAAGGCAGGACCCTTCACCAGAAGGCCCCAGAGAACCTTGCTGGGGTGTCCTGGCTGAGAGGACAGAGATTCCATGGCAGAGACCCCACCTTGGCCCGGGGGGAGCAGGGCTTGGGTCAGCAGCACAGCCCCCATACGGTACCCCTGCACAGGGCCTGAGCCCAGCGGGGATGACGCCCCCCAGGAGGGGCCTCGGCTGAGCGGCCGCAGCAGAGCTTCGTGCTAGAACTGGGGACAGTGAGGGCAGATGAGCACACCCTCCCCTGCAGGAGCCCCCCTGACAGCCTGTCCCCAGTACCTTTGATAGTGCCTGTGGGGATGATGCCCTCGGCCGTACCCCCATAGCCGCCCGACACAATGCTGGTCTCATTGAGGTTGGGTCCCGACACCATCACCTGCTGCAGGTCCTGGGGGGCAAAGGAGAGCGGGGGGCTGAGCTGCAGGGCCAGCTCGGCCTCAGCAGGGCCCCAGCACAGCCCCAAACACCCCCGGGATCCCCAGCCCCCCAGACCTGCTCCAGGCCATCATCCTCGGGCAGGCTGCTCGTGTCCCCGTTGCTGCTGATGGGGATCTCCATGGTGGCCGCCTTGCTCAGGATCCCGTCCGACATCCTCAGGGCCTGAGGGGACACGGAGGCGGCGCTAGGACCTGTGGGGCCGGGCTCCGATACCAGGGGCAGGAGAGGGCAACGTGGGGGGGTCCCACTCCGGCAGCTGCCGGCACTAAGCAGCCTCTGTCCCTGCCCAGGGTCTCCTGCAGCCACTGTCCCGCCCGGCCCTCGGGGCTCCCCCGGCTCCCAGAACGCTCCCGGGGAGTGGAGCGGGCACGTCACGGAGGCACCAGTCCCAACCCCGACCCCGGTGCCACCCCCAGCCCCGCGTCGGCTCTCCCCCGTTCTGCCCAGGCCCCCCCGGGCTCCTCCGCTCCCAGGGCCGGACCGCGCGCCCCCTCACAGATCCCGGCGAGGACCCGCAGCGCCGGCCTGGCCCGCAGGAGTGCGCCGGGAGCCACGTCCGCAGCCCAGGGGGTGCGGGGGGGGCCCCGAGCGCCCAGACCGGTCCGGGCACATTCCAGGGCAGGCGGGGCCCGGGGCGGGATCCAGGTGCCCGTTATCTGTGCCGTGTCCCTGGGCCCGGCTCGGCGGGGACGGCCCGGCCCGGCCCATCCCGGCGGCAGGGTCGAGCCCTGCGGGCCGGGCCGGCACCACCCCGCGCCATCTCCCGGGGCAGCGGCCCTGCAGCCCCCGGGACGTGACCGCCCGCACCCACCCCCGGCCGAGCTCCGGGGCCCCCACGCCGGGACCGACCCCCGCGGGGACCCCGGGCGGCCGCTTCCGGTGGGACCGGCCAGAGACGGCCCGGCCCCATCCCGGGGCCGTCCCGGACAGGCCCCGTCACCCCGCGGCCACTCCCCGCGCGTGGTGCCCCCCGGCCCCACCTGCGCCCCGGCCCCGCCGGGCCCCCCCGCGCCGCTCCCGCTCCGCCTCGGCCCGGACGCGCCGGAAGCGTCGCACGGCAGCGCCGCGCCGGAAGTGGCGTCAGTGGCGCGCCGTCCGGAACCGCCGTCCGGAACCGCCGTCGGGGCGGGCCCCGCCGAGCGCGGGGGCACCGGCGGGCCCGGCATGGACCCCGCGGCCGAGCACCGCCAGCAGCTCCGCAGCGTGAGCGGCCGGGCGGGGGGCGCAGGGGGCTGGGCTCGTGGGGCTCTCGGGCGGGATCCCGAGGCCCCGGGTTCGGAGCGGCCCATGGCTTTCGGGCCGGTGTGGGGGGTCCCGGTGGGTTTCGGCGGTCCTGGCCCCTGCCCCGGTATGACTCCCCCCGTACCCCCCAGCTACGAGACTTCCTGCTGGTTTACAACCGCATGACCGAGCTCTGCTTCCGCCACTGCGTCTGTAGCCTCAACTACCGGCTGCTCACAGGCCGCGAGGTGAGCGGGGCGGGGGGGTGCGGGCGGCCCAGGGGTCCCCGCGCCCCCTGACCCGCCAGCCCGTCCCGTCCCGTCCCGCAGGAGTCGTGCCTGGATAGCTGCGCCGCGAGGCTGGTCCGTGCCAACCACCGCCTGATGAGCGCCTACGTGGGGCTGGTGCCCGCACTGCTGCAGCGCCGCGCGGCCGAGCACGGCGCCGCGGGGCCCCCGGCCGTGCCCGGCCCGGCCCCAGGCCCCGCCGCGCCTTCGCCCGACGCTCCCGGTGCCGGCACGTAGCACGTCCCGGCCACGCCTTCCCACGGCGGCGGTGGGGCAGGATCGGCCCCCCCGGTCCTGGCGGGAGCAGCAGCGCTGGGGCCCCACCGAAGCTCCGGACGGGAGCAGCGGCTCCACTCGGCCCCGAGAGTCCCCGGGCCGGCAGCACAGAAACAGGGGAGCCCCCACGCGTCTGGATGTTTGGGAAGTGGATGTGTGGTGCCAATAAAACGTCTCTTCAGCAACGGCTCCGTGCCATGCTCCGGGAGGGCACCAGAGCCCCAACCCTGTCTGGCAGGGGTAGCCCATGGGAAGCCCAAGGCACAACTGGGAATCCTGCCTAAACATGAGACAGATGTCTCTTTGTGGGGGCTGCAGAGGGGCAGCACCAGGCTGTCCGGGAGGCCCTGTCATGGCAGAGGGGCAGCACTGGGTGGGGAGAAGGGTCACAGCTGCTCCATCCGGGCAAATGGATACCCCCAGGGGTCCTGGGCCTGATCCTCCAGCTCCAGCCAGCACTGGGGGATCCATGGGGTCTCCATGTGGGCCAGGGGTAGCACAGAGGCTCCTGATGGACACACTGGGGAGGGTCCTGGTCCTGCAGCTGTGACCAGTGCTGGGGAGCTCCCAGAGTAAGGGGAGCCCCTAGAGTAGGACGAGCCTGGAACAGGGTATCACAGGGCCAGTGCTGCCTTCAGAGCTGGGGTCACTGCAGGGAGGCTGCAGGACCCCCGTGGGCACCAGGACAGGGGTGTTACAAATGGCTGGTGCAGAGCAGGCACCCAGTGCCAGGGGGTGTCGGGTGCTGCGGGGCCATCGCCCCCTGCCCAGGGCCTGCATGTGCAGGGAGAGCCTGTCCCCTGCCTGTGCTGCCCAGGGTCAGAGGGGATGCGCTGCAGCCCCCAGCCTGGGCTCAGGGCTTGAGCAGGAGCCCCAGTACAGAAATAAATCAATTTATTCCATGTATAAAACATGCTCCTGCGGCCCGGCCGGACGCTCCCACGCATATAAATAAGGCCCGGCCGGGCGCCCCCCTGTCCTGCCCGCGGGGCCAGCGCCTGCGCCGGAGCCACCCCTCCCGCGGGACCCCCGGGCTGGCCGGGGTCACTTGAGGTCCACATCAAAGTCCAGCACCAGCAGCTTGGTCTCCTCGGTGCCATTGCGGCTGCCCACGGCGCACACCAGCTTTGTGTTGGAGGCACGGATGCGCCACACGACGCCCCCAGAGCCCCCGCTCTCCAGGGCCACCAGGTTCCGCACAAATTCCCCCGTCTTCAGGTCCCACAGCTTCACCGTCCCATCGTCAGAGCTGGTCACCACGAACTTGGAGCTGAACTGCAGGCAGGTCACAGCACTCTGGTGCTTGCTGGGACCTGCAGGGAGAGAGCTGTGAGCCCCAGGAGCGCCCGGGGCACCCACGGCTGCGTGACACCTGCCCTGTCTCATCTGGGGCACCCACAGCCAGGTGACACCTGCCCTCCCACATCTGGGAGCCCCACTCCCTCTGCAGCCCCCTGAGGGAAGGAACTGCTCCCTCCCAGCCCCCTGATTGAAGGGAGCCCCCCCTGCCACCCGCAGGCCCCCGAGGGTGGGGAACACCCCTCACCCTGCAGTGTCTGCAGGCACTGCCCCGTCTTGATGTCCCAGATCTTGACGGTGGAGTCGGCGTTGCCAGACACGAGGATGTTGTCGCGCAGCTCCATCCCACTGGTGAGGGACTGGTGCCCCATGAGGGTGTGCAGGCAGTTCCCGCTCTCCACGTCCCACACACGGATCGACGTGTCTAGGGACCCGCTCACAATGTGCGTCCCATCAAACTGCCAGAGGGGGAGGCCCAGCTCAGCCCCTGGAGCCAGGAGTGCCCCCTGCTTTGGGGTGCAGCCCCCCCAGCTCCAGCTCAGTCCCTGGCTTAGTGGCTGAGTCATGGCCTCACATACCCCTCAGCTTTTTGGGGTCTACAAATGCTCCAGGGAACGGGCACAGAGGAGTGTTTGTGCCCACAGCATGTGTGTGGGAGGGAGTGTCAGGGAGGTAGAGTGTCCCCACAAGACACAGATGTGGTCCATATGTCTTTGCATGGCACAGATGTGTCCCTTAAGGGCACAGATGTGGCCTACGCGTCCCTGCAACACACATAGGGACTGTGTGGCACAGCTTGTGCCCCGCGACTGGAAAGCAGGGGAGTGACAGGTGAAGGCAGCAGAAGGGCAGGTGTGTGAGGTTGTACCTGCAGGGAGCAAGGAAATCAGGGGAGCCGGAGGGGGGAACGCAGCAGGAGGGGAGGTGTGTGGGGAGAGCAGGGCAGCTGGAGGGGAGAAGGCAGCGGGAGGGGAGGTGTGGGGCCGTACCTGCAGGGAGTAAACGCGGTTGGTGTGCCCCTGCAGGGTGTGGGTGCAGCTCTCGCTCTCGGGGTCCCACACCTTGACCGTGTAGTCGTAGGCGCCACTGACCACCTTGTTGCCATCGTACTGGACGCAGCGCACGGCCGCCACATGCCCCATCAGCACGTGCAGGCACTGCCCCGTCTCGATGTCCCAGAGCCGCAGCGTGGCGTCCCGGGAGCCACTCACCACCCTGTGGGCAAGGGGACACCTGGGGCCCGACTGCCAGGGTGGCCCCAGGGCAACAAGGTTCACCTCCTGGGCTCCCCCTCCCACAGAGCTTGCTCAGCCCGTACCTGTTGCCGTGCAGGTGCATGCAACGCACGGTGGAGGTGTGTCCATACAGCGTGTGCACGCACTCGCCACTGTCCGCGTTCCACACCTTGAGCGTGCGGTCCGTGGAGCCGCTGATGACGATGCTGTCCCTCATCTGGGAGGACCACACGCCCCCCGTGTGGCCCACCAGTGTCTGCACACACTGCAGGGGGCAGGGCGTGAGGGACAGGTGGGCCTCTCCCACCTACCCCCACCTGCGGCAGGGCAGAGCAGCACAGCTCAACGTCCTTGTCACCAGGAGCCCAAACTGATCCCCGGAGTCAGGGTGCAGCCACATCTGTGCTCAGCATAGGGGGATGGTCCCTGTCCCAGCCCCCCGTGGCACCAGTGACAGTGCCACACTCATCTGCCCCATAACAGTGCCACACTCATCTGCCCAGTGACAGTGACACCTGCCCCGTGACAGTGACACTCACCTCCCCGGTGACAGCTGACCACACCTTGAGCGTGTTGTCATCAGAGCCGCTGACGATGCGGTTCCCGCAGAACTGAAGGCACGTGATCACGTGGTCGTCATGGCCTTTCAGCACCTGTGGGAGCACAGGCACGGAGAAGGGGCAGTGTGGGCCCCCCAGCCCACAGGACCCCCCAAACACGGTGAGCAGCGGGAGGCAGCAGGTGCCACATGGAGGAAGGGTAGAGGGCTCCCCAAATCACCTGCACCTCCCAGTGCTTCTGCAGGGCAACAGAGCCAGGGGGAGTGGTTGGGCAGCTGCTGCCAGGGGCAGGAGCCTACTGGGGAACAGGGAGTGGGGGGGGCTCAGGAGCAAGACAAGAGGCAGCAAAGGCTCTGCCCAGAGGGCAGGAGGGACCCCCAGGGAGAACATCCCAGGGGTCTGGGACCCTGCATGGGAGACAGCTGAGCCCTGGGGGGCTGTACCCTCCCTGGGTACTGGAGTTGGCTGCAGCTCTGCACAGGGGCTTGGAGAGGGGCAAGGTCCCTCCTTACCCAAGCCCACGGGACTCCACTTCTGCTGCCCCCACTGCTTCGAGCTGGATCTGCTCCCTGTGGCTGATCCCACACCAGCTCCCCCTGTTGCAGTGCCCCAGACCCACCTTGGGGGCTCTCAGCTCCCCAGAGTCTGTCCCTGGTGGACACCCAGACCCACCTTGGGAGGCCGCAGCTCCCCACTGCGCCAGTTCATGTCGATGCGGTGCTGGCGCAGGAAGGCGAATTTCCAGGGGCTGTACATGAACCCGGGGCTCAGCAGGCGCCGCTTCCGCAGGTGCAAGGGCTCCTCGATCCCTGAGGGGGGAATGCAGCGGTGCCTCACCTGAGCTGAGCCCAGGGTGGCCCCCAGCCTCCACCCTGGGGGGCCCTCACCTTCCTCACGGCACTTCTCCCTCCAGAGCAGGTTGTCCTCAGCCAGGACTCTCCAGTAGCGGCAGGTCTGGGCAGCGCGGAGCAGGTCCCGCGGCTCCAGGAAGGACAGGACATACAAGGCCAGCTGCACAGGGGACAGGGGTCACAGGGGCCCCTGGGGGGGGTCAGGCTGTGCCCGTGGGCCCCCAGCCCCACTCACCTCCTTGGGCAGCAGAGAGATGAAGTCCCGCTGGAACTGGGGCTCGATGACCTGCATCATGTACTTGATCTGCGCCGGCTCGCAGCGGTCAA